TAGAAAAGCGGCGCTTTCCAACTTCATTAACATGTTATGGTATTATAGCTGTAAAATTACAAACAAAAAATACAAATTTTGAGACATGAACCGATACATTAAACATTAAACATTAAATCGTACTCCTCCCATTTTCACCTCAAAATTTTGGGGAAGCTGTGCCTCCCCTGCCTCCCCCAACGAGCCGCCACTGACGGGTTCAAATTTATACTGGTGTTTAGCAATAAAATGACAGCAAGAACATGGCGTGGCTTTAATAACTTACAGCTCTTGTTGTTCTTGCTGGTGAATATATTTTCGATGTGCATGCTTGTATAAATAGCGCTCCACGGGCAGGTATGCAGACTGCAGGAGTAGGTTATCTCTCCAGGGAGCATGTAGAAGTGGGCCTCCAGGTTATGGTCTAGATCTGAGGCACTATGTGAGGGTGAGTGGGGGACTAGAGCAAATGCGACTGACTTTCAGAGGGAGGGCAGTGAGATTGACCTATCTATTAAAAACTGCTCAGGGCTGTTTAGTTATTTTACAAAAGAAAGTCTGTCCCTCACTTTTGTCTTTTATTTGTCTATGGCTCACGCAGTGCTTGAATAACATTGTCAACCCCGTGGTTAAGTATGGTTATAGTCACACACTTCGTTATAACGAGTGAAAACCACAGTCTATAACCAAACTGACTTTGAGAGTGAAATCTCTGTGACATGTGAATGTAACTGAAGCTAACTTGTGTCATTTTGACGTTGTGTCCCTGTTTTTTTTTTGTTTTTTTTGTCTGCGACAGGGTGATGCTAACCGTTCCTACTCTGATGACGACAGATCCTCTTGTAACTTAGAAGAAACTGAGAAAAAGGACTCACTCCAGCTGTCCGGTACTGAGCTGTGGACTAACTAAGGAAGTGTTATTAAAGCAAAGCTGTTTTTCCATGTGTTTCCGAACCTTATGTGTAGTACTGTAGTTCTTTTTATATTTTGGTTCATTCTAAGTAGAAACTCTGTGTTCGTGTTCCAAGCTCTTTTTCAGATTATCTGAACAAAAAAAAAAGGTTAATAACAGTCTTTTACAATGCCAGTACACTGTGATATTGTCAGCTACATGTTAATATATACATACAGTAAGCCTTTCTGTGTTTTGACCTTTTAATTTTTTTTTTTTTGGTGAAGGTTTTGTCAATGATAATGAGTCAGAATGTAAATGATGTGTTATGGCGACAATTTTAATTAGTTAAAGCTAGTCATTTAGTCATTTTGGTGTCAAGTTTGGGGTTTTGGGGTCATTAAGAAAATTCTTTTTTTAAGAAATTAATACTTTCAGCAAGGTCTTACGTTGATCAAAAGTGACAGTAAATACATTTATAATGTTGCAGAAGTTTTCTATTACAAATAAATGCTGTTCTTTTTCATCAAAGAATCGTCAAAAAAAATACAAATCACAATTTCCTCAAAATTATAAGCAGCACAACTGTTTTCAAAATTGCTAATAATATGAAATGTTACTTAAGCACCAAATCAGCATATTATAATGATTTCTGAAGGACCATGTGACATTGAAGACTGGAGTAATGGCTACTGAAAATTCAGCTTTGTCATTGCAGGAATAAATTACTTTTTAAAATATATTACAATAGAAAACATCAATTTCAAATAAAAAATTTTTTTTTTACTTATTTTATTATTTTACAAAATGCCACCTTGCTGAGCAAAGAAAGCAAAAAAAACATTTAAAATGTTTAAAATGTAAAAAAAAAAAAAAAAAAACATTTATAAAATCTTAATGACCCTTAATGATAGTCAGACTAGTCAGTAACCCATATGAATACACCATTGTCATGACAACACTAGTGTTAGTTTTGTCAGGAATTTATAATTTAGTCTTATGGTGCATAGGACTAAAAGTACCTGAGTAGGTACTACATTTGAATTTGAATTTACTTCATGACCGTTAAAAAAGTATGTTCTATATAGTATGAATATGGGCACTATGAATGAAATTCGGACGTACTACATCTGCCATATCGTTACTGTCACATGACCTACCAGCGTCAGTTGCGTCATTTCACTGGCATTCATAAATCCTCTCCCATGGCCTCATGGAATAGTAAAGTGTCCATCGAATGCACACTTCAGAATCTGGGAAGAAGAAGTAGGTCATCCGGATACTTTTCACCTGCTGTTTTTCGAATACTATGAATTCGGACATACTACTCGCCTCATATACTGTTTTTCGCCTACTATATAGTAGGGAAGTATGTGATTTTGGACACAGTGTTAGTCTTTTAAATTAGTCTTAGTCTTAATCCTCTGTCAAATTTTTAGTTATTATCATATTTAGTCAACCTTGTCCTGTTTTTGTTTAGTCAAGTTTTAGAGCATTTGAGTCTAGTTTTAGTCAGTGAAAACTTCACTGTCACATTTTTCACATTTTCGTCCTGCTGTATAATGGTTAAACTGATAAAAAAAAAAAAATTTTTTTAATTATAATTGCAATGATTGTTTTCATTTGAGAAATTTATTTTTACATTTCAGGTATTTCAGGTATGGCACTTTCACCAATAAGCACAAACCAACAGAATGTGAACTCATACACATTGTATATTTGTGTATGAGTTCTAGTGTACTGATTTATTATAGGCTATATTAATTACAAAGACATAGATATTATAAGCTACTTAATATATAAATTAATATCAAAGACTTAGATATGCACTCTGTCAACATTATGAAAACTGGTAAAAAATTCCTAATAGTAATTCCAATAATTCCAAATTGCAATAATGTTTCTCTATTAAAACAACAGCGGTTGAGTAAGTGCATTAATTCAGTAAACAAAATAGTCGAGATCTCATGACAGAACACAGACAGGCTGAATGACACTTTCATTTAAGCTCAACATCTCACATGGAGATCGCTAAACTTCAGCTTACTTGTTTGTCTGCGTTTTCAGTTCATCGTTTCGCTTCTGCAATGAAGAGCGAGCAAATGCGTATGGATGCCATATTGCAAAAATTGAGCAAAACACGGCAGAAAATGTATCCTTTGAACAGAGAAGTTCTGATTTGGGGATTTGAACATAGTAGAGGCATGTACAGTAGTCCGCAATAATATTTTGTCTGTTTTTTTAATTTTTTCAACAAAAATAAAAAGATTTTTGTATATATATATATATTTTTTTTAAATACAATTTAGTCTTGTCTTTTGTCGTCAAAGATATTGCATGTTGATATAGTCACAGTTATCGTTTATTGACCTTATTGTCATCTCGTCATCGTCTCGTTTTAGTCATGGGAAAAAAAGCTTGTCAACAAACATTTTTCATCATAGTTTTCATTAATGAAATTAACAATAGACAAAATGCTACCCAAAATGCGATATCCTAAACAGTTTCAAAAATGAGTAACTGAGAGCAATGCATTGAAATGTCTCATTAATATCTGGTCCAAAAAAAATGGCGCTGTGAGATCTGAGGACATGATGCAATGAATAATGCATGTACACACTGATGCTCTCTACAGACAGAACACAAACTTACACACTCCCACCAGCGTTGCCTGGCATGAGAGGAGGCTTTAGAAATACCAGAAATCACGCAAGCTTGAAACTTTAATAGGCTTGGTGGAATATACTTCCTAATTACGCACCATAAGCACAAAACAAATTGTTTTTGACTTATTGTGCCTTGTGATAAGCCAGCTAGCATTTCTCATGGCTAGAGTCCTTCGGATGTGTTTGTGATCTAATCAGTCTTGGCATGTGTGTTTGTGCAGATCCCAAGATTTCCACTTTGACCCCTAATGGGCATCTGGATTTGACACCTGCACCCAACGCCAGGGGCCTGTACCCATCTGAAAGGCTGAGCTTTGCCCTGAGTTCCCGCAAGAGCAGCGTGAGCTCTTTGAGCAGGGCTAGCCTGGAGCAGACGACGCTGGTGAGCTATTGTGCATGCTGCAGTCAACTTGCCATTCATTACAGGGTCTTACTCAATGAGAGGGCTATATCATACCACTCCGGCAATCCAAAACCTCTCAAAAAAGCACAAAGAACACAATAATTATCCATCAGCTCTGCATGTATTAACATTTTACGAACCATTAATAAGACACTTACTCAGCACTTAAGAGAGCCGTCTCTACTCATCTAGCTTGCACTATGTTAGCACTATATTAGCATACTCACAGAGGGTTGTTGAGCGGGCACTCGAAGAGCTGAGAGCAACTTATAAACTACATAATTATTTTTACAATGGTTTAAATAATTACAGCCCTTGTGAGGAGGTTGGCTTTTTATGAGAGTTCTAGACAGCGAGGGGGGAATTTGCTAAGAATGAGTTGAAAGCATGGTTTATTTGTGTGCACCGTCAGATGTTTTAGTCAGATTCACTAGGAATTATGTACAGCAAATCGGGTAACACCCAAAACTTTAGCGCATCGTGTGGGATGGTTTTGGGTTTTAGATTGTGGAGGTCATAGCAGACTAACTCGATCAGAGAAACTTTACTGTACAGCATCGTCCCACCACTGCAATCCAAACACCTGGACCTGAACCCGTCTCTTTGAAATGCAGTATTCGTTCCACTAAACAGCGTTGTATCACCAGCTTCCTGTGGACAGTAGTAGCACTAAATTAATTATGCCAAGCAAATAACGCTGAGTTTTGTGATTAATAGACAAATATATGATAATTTTAATAACATAATGAATTTAAAATATTTTGTGATATATAATACTATTTAATGTATAAAATAATAATTTAAAAAAAAAAAAAAAATGCAATGACAATTTTTTTATTATTAATTCATTTATTCGATTAAGCCATTTTTGCAAGCTATCTTAGTGCTTTTTGCCACCACTGTAATCCAATCACCTGAACACTGATCCTGACTGAATTTATCATTTAATCTATTTATCTATAATATTTTTACATTTTTCAGAACAGTCTGCACACCTGTTGACAGGTCAGCCAGATTCCAGAACTGTTTGATAACAACTTGCATTCTATATGTGTTGTAGTGTCCAGGGCGAGCCTCTATGTACCACAACTGGGGACAGCCTGCACGACCAGGAATATGGAGTCGCAGGTCAAGCTGGAACAGCTTAAGTCGATCCTCTAGATGCCTGGGGATGGGGGGTGGAGGCAGTTTAAGGGTCTGTAGCCCTCACTCTCGCCCCACTGAGCAGGAGTCCTTGCTGTCTCCTCCGCCCCCTCCTCTGCACCCGCCTCTGGTCTCTAGACGCTTCGTCCCGCGCAGAGAACGGCGGGCTCTCTCTTTGGAGCTTCCTGAGCTGCTGCAGGTGCCTGGACTGGCCCTGCCTCCTCTGCATGCACGGCAACGCAAGAAGAGCTTCTCTGGGGGTCTGGGAAGCGTTGGAGAGCACCAGGACTGTAATGGGAAGACACCATCAGTCCAACCACAAATCATCAATGAAGTCTACCCTCAGGTCAATGCACGCAAGGACAGGGAGGATCTGGACGATGAGCTGGACTATGTAAGTGTCCATTAAAAATATTTTAAAGGGATAGTTCACTTATTCTGTAATCATTATATTTCAAACTCATATGACTGACTTTCTTCTGTGGAACACAAAAGTAGACATTTAGCCGAATGTCCTGGGTGCTCTTATCCATACAATGAAAGTGATGGGGACAGAGACTGCAGAGCTGAAAAAAAAAAAAAAAAAAAAAGCCCTGAGTCAGTGATTACTTCGATGATCTGATTGGACTGAAGGGGGTAACGATATAATACACCATAATTTAACCCAAACTGAATAATTATTAACGAGTTCAAATGGGTAAATTCTTCATTTTCTTTTCTGACATATTCCAGTTCTTGTTAAAACACACTAAACATGCTTATTCTGTGCATTTTTAGCACTTTTTGTGTGAAATCATATTTATTTTGTCCATCAGAAGTGTGCTATCACTTTAATTGAGCATGAGCGGCACAGCAAAAATAGACTAAATCTTTAAAGTTTCTAACTGATCAACTTCTAAAAACAAATATATAACATTAGTTGTCTTTGTAAAGAAATGTGTAGCTTTGGAGCCGCTGCTGTGACACTGTACAAATGCTTCCAGTGTGAATACTCTCGCGAGTCTGTAGCTGCAGTGACGGTGAAGTTACGCTGAAGTGAAGCTCAAGTTTGGGGTGTGAAACAGGTGTAAGACTCTTCATTTTCTCCCGACATCAGAGCAACTGAGGACACAGTGGATTTGTTTTATTTTTGATGGTAATGCACCACCGAATACACAAAAAACGGAAGAGAAGGGTGGAGTGAGCAGTACCTCATCATCATTTAAAGAGACATGCACCGAAACGGGTCACTGTGAACAGAGCTGTTTTTGATAAGGTAAAAAGGCTGTTCTTTTACATGATCATTGAGGAATTTTAACTGAAGTATGTTACAGACGTTTCATGAAGACCCTAAAGAATCTTACCAACTTGTGGAAAATGGGCATCCGATGTCCCCTTTAAATGCTGTAGCAGAGGAAACAATTCGGCCAGGATGCAATAAATCTGTTTTACTGTATTTTTGACCTAATAAATTTAGCCTTGGTGAGCATAAGAGACTTCTTTCAAAAACATAAAAAAGTGTTACCAAACTTTTAAACAGTAGTGTATGGCTTCAGAAGACTTCTGCCATTTATGGAGCTCTAGACGTTGGTGCTCCATGGAAGAAAAGAATTCAAATGTTGGAACCAAATTTGTTTTGATGAAATAGATAATTGTCTTTTAAATGGTAATTTTTGTGGATTATCTTAAATTAGGTTGGCCCCTGCAAAACAGCGTCTACACACATTGTAAATCTTTTTGAAGCAGAGCCAATAGCATATATAATCAACTACACAATGAAAATTGCCCAATTATTATCTGTTGAGGAGGAATGCTAACAGATGGCAGTAGGATTTCAGTTTTTAATTTACAGCCAGATTCTCTTGTTTTATAAGCAATTAAGAGTAACATGGCAGCTCCAAGAGGACCTGAAACATTAGAAAGCTCTGTTTCATAACTGCTTCAACTATCAAACGCATTTCCAAGAAAGTTCTCCCACCCTGGATACTGCAGAATTAATCTTAGTCCTCATTTTTGCCAACAGATATTCAACTAAATACATCTTTTTCTGTCTGCAGAGTCTATGTTTCCGGATGCAGAAGATGATAGAGGTGTACAGACCAGACTGGTGTGAGACCAGGGAAGACTGGTCCGTCTTCCTCTTCTCTCCCCAAAACAAGTTAGTCCTTTCACTGTCTCCTCTGTCAGTAAATAGCGGTCATGAACATACTTTATAAGACCTAACGGAAGCTGTTTCATTTTTTGACCTTGTTTGCACACAATATACAGTTGTGGTCAAAATTTTACATACACTTTGCAGAATCTTTGCAGAATAATTTTACCAAAATAAGAGGGGGTCATACAAAATGCATGTTGTTTTTTTTATTTAGTACTGACGTTTACATATAGTCCACAGGAGAAATGTAATAGTTAAATATATAAAAATGACTCCGTTCAAAAGTTTACATACGCTTGATTCTTAAGGGGAGACACTGCAGGCAAAAACACTGTTTTTTCATGCATCTGTCAAGTTTGAGATTTTGGTCTTTTTGGTTTTTCATAGTGTTTTTTCAGACTAGTGGAAAGAAAACATCCAAAAGACACTGTTAAGTGTTTCTTTTACAGCACTTCATCTATTTGTGTCAATAGATTTAAATTACAATACATATTTTTAAAGGCCGTTTTCTCAAAAGGAGTTTTTTCTCCTACACTGAGCCATAAATCTCCACTTCAGTAGCACTTACACACACCAAACTTTACATTTTTATTCCTGTCTATATCCTGAAGGTTTTTACAGAGGGATTTGTTCATATATAATTTCCTTGATTATATACAACACTTTATTCCCCCCCAAAATTTTAAAATATAGTGTTTTCTGTCCATTCTAAGCATTTTCTAAATTATGGAGTGACAAAAATGACATACCCAAAATTCCCTCTGTAAAAACTTTTGACTCTAATATGTCAAAAATTAACCACGAATTTTGAAACTGACATCATCCAGTGTTTAGATTTTGGTACTAGAAATGTATGCAAATTAGCGTATATTTAATTAAATAATGACTCATTTGCATATTTAAACCTAACATTTTAGAAAACTTGTAATACAAAAATTTTTTGCAATTATCAATGTAATCAATCAGCTGGGTAAGTAAGGCCATAACTATTAGTTTTTTTTTTTTTTACCCTATTCACCTGCAGTGTCTCGCCTTAAAGGGGTCCTATTATGCTTTTTTTTACTTTTTGAATTTTAGTCAGTATGTAGTGTGTATGTTTGGGCATAAAAAAGATCTACAAAGTTACAAATTTCAAAGTCCACTCCAAATGGAGATATTTCGTTTTGAAAAAATCCCTTTTCAAGAACTACAACGAACGGCTCGTTTGGACTACAGCGTTGTTTTCTGGGTTTTGTGATATCACAAAGCGGTCCATTAGAATATCATTAAAATAATTCCCGCCTACGGAAATTCGAATGGTTTGGGGGGTGGGGAGGGGCGAGGTCGTGGTCGTGGTGCATCAGACAAGAAGACGAAGAAGAAGAAGTGCTGCTGCAGAATTAGTGCATCAGCGAAAACAAAGAAGAAGAGCTGCTGTAGCGTCAAGTTTTCCGTGTCCATGTACGTCCATATCCATGCGTGCAAAGGTTCTGCACGATCCTCTTGTTCAATATTCTCTGGGTCTGAATCTGGCTCAAATTGATATGGCAATATTGACGCCATCCTTAACTATACCGGAGCAAACGGAACTTGCTGCTTTGGCAAGGGGCGTGGCAGTACTGAAACACCGTCTTAAGATGTTCGCCAAACACAACGCATTGGGACAGCTAACCAATCACAACACATTTCGTTTTTCGGAAGGTGGGCCTTAATCAAACCCGGAACTAATTGAGCTGTTTGTGTCAGGCTGGGGAGAAAAGTATTTTAATAATGTAAATTATGTGAAAAATAATGCGTTTTTCGAACCACTAAGCATGAGAGCATGTTCCAGTACACCCCCAAAACAAAATCAAGACTTTGTAAAAGAGCATAATAGGACCCCTTTAATACTGTTGTTACCTGGATGATCCACAGTTGTTGTTTTTTTTTGTGATAGTTTCTGAACAGTTAAACTGTCTGCTGTTCTTCAGAAAAAATACTTTTCCAGTATTTTTTGCGTATTTGAACCCTTTCCAACAATGACTGTATGATCTTGAGATCCATCTTTCCACACTGAGGACAACTGAGGGACTCATACGCAACTACTACAAAAAGCTCAAACACTCACTGATGCTCCAGAAGAAAACACATGCATTAAGAGCCTGGAGGTAAAAACTTTTTGAATTTGAAGATCAGGGAAAATTGTGTATGAGTCCCTCAGTTGTCCTCAGTGAAATATCTTATTCAGATCAGTATTAAATAAAAAATAACATGCATTTGATATGAACCCTCTTATTTTGGTAAAATAATTAACATTTTGCAGATACTGCAAAGTGTATGTCAAATTTTGACCACAACTGTATATATTTTTAAATGTTATATGCTAACTGTGAGTTCTGTAAAAAAGCAGATGAACAGACGCATGGTTTTGTTTTCTTAGCTGTCATGTGTGATTGACCTATCAGGTGATTATGTTCACAGCCAATCAAATCAAAGAGCAAAACTTGTCACTAATAATAAATAAATGCTGCAAATGAATTTTGTGAATGCTATTTTATTTTGTTTGCTTTGATAGTTTTATTAGCTATCACTTACATGAAACAGAGAGTACAAGATTTACAGCATTAATCACCTATATAAGGTTTTTCCAAAATGGGGGTTGTGTGTTGATGAAAAGGCTTATAAATAATGAAATGATAAAAATGAATAAACTTTAAAATAAATAAATAATTATTTAAAAAAAACTATCAAAATAAAACACTAAAAATGTAAAATATATTTGTTTAAGGGTTATTATACAGGTGCATCTCAATAAATTAGAATGTCGTGGAAAAGTTCATTTATTTCAGTAATTCAACTCAAATTGTGAAACTCATGTATTAAATAAATTCAATGCACACAGACTGAAGTAGTTTAAGTCTTTGGTTCTTTTAATTGTGATGATTTTGGCGTGTGAAAATGCTTGGATACAGCACTCTCTTTTAAGAGTGCTGTATCCAAGCATGTTAACAGAAAGTTGAGTGGAAGGAAAAAGTAACTCAAACTATAGCTAAATAAAAACTATAGTAGTATCTCAATTATACAAAATTAACACTTTTTACCTGCATGTAATGTGACCATTAACTGATTTCATAGAACTGTGAACATGCTAATTTGTTGTTAAATTATTGAAATAACTTAAAATCTCAGTGGGTACTTCAAGTAAAGACATATTTTAGGTCATAGGGATTTGGCTGACAAAACGTTTGGGAATACCTGGTCTAAAGTAATGCTTTTGCACTTGTGCTGCTGTGTCCCACATGGCGCTCATCATAAGCAAAACCTGCTGGCAATCATGCACCTTTGTGTCTCTTTACAATGAAAAATTACTGAAGGGGTTTGTCAGGTAAGAGTCAAATATTTTCAGTCTAAGCAAAATTCGAGAGTGCAGCTGGAAGTTGTTTTTCATGGACCTCATTATAGCACAAAACAAATTAGTAGTTGCTCCACGCCCAAGAACAGGTTGAAATTAAGCAGATAAAGGCAAGCTTGTGTCACAGGTTGTTTCCTATAGTGCCACTGATTTGATCTCTGAATAACACAGAGGGAAAGATGCCTGCATACCTCTTCTTCTCTCCTGACAGTAACTCGGCCAGCAGTTATTCTGCTATCCCTGCCTGATCAATAGCACTGATGGGCTGCCAGCTCTTTAGAGGGTGGCTTGATTAGGATATTGATCCGTGTCAGCGAGATAGGAGCCGATTATTCCCACCCTCTGCCTGTCAGTCTGTTTTTTCCAAACTGTCTAGTCTTTGAATATCCAGCTAAAGTTTGGGCTGCAGTGGAAAAATTTAGATATTTGGCTGTTCCAAAAACTAGTGAGCTGCCAGAATGCATTGTGACAATCTCCATGAAAAAATGAATCCAAGATGGCAGATGAAGTGAGAGTCATATACTACTGTTCAAAGTTTAGGGGTAGTAAGATATTATTTATTTATTTATTTGTATTGATTGATTGATTGATTGATTGATTGACTGGTTGATTGAAAGAAGTCAATACTTTATTTCAGCAAGGCATTAATTTGATAAAATTAGTCATTAATTATTTTACAAAAGATTGCCAGGCATTTCAAATAAAGTCTGTTTTTCAAACTTTCTGTTCATCAAAGAATCAAGAGAAAAATGTTATATCGCAGATTCCACAATTTATTACCATTTTCAACTGTGATAATAAGAAATGTTTCTTGAGCAGCAGTTCAGCATATTAGAATGATTTAAAGGATCATGTGAAAATGAAGACTAGAGTAATGATGCTGAAAATTTAGCTTTGCCATCACAGAAAGAAAAATATAATAAAAAATAATAAATAGAAAACAGTTCATTTAAATTATAATAATATTTTGGAATATTGCTGTTTTTTTTTTGTTTTTTTTCATCAAATAAATGCAGCCTTGGTGAGCATAACTGCCCCCAAACTTTTGAAGGTAAATTACAATATTGTTTTACCCAATATTTTTTTCAGAGTGTCTATTTACACTAAGTGCAAATAGCCCGCCTTGTTGGCTGAGGCTATTTACACTAACTCCGCCCACCAACGTCTGATTGGAATAGTCAACACTGTAAAAAGACGCTCGTCTAACATCAGTTTTAGTGGCGTAGATGGTAAGGCGCGTGCTTTTTGACGCGATCGACCCGGGTCCGAACCCGCCTTTTGCCGAACTTTTTTTCTCCCTTTTCAAATCTCATATCGCACCGGAAAGGCATTTATTTTCAATAAAAATGAAGGAAATAATCAAAAAGCTGAAAATAAAGTATCGGGTACGGTTAGGGTAGGTGTAGAGAGGGCTTTATTGTCCCAATGTGGCATCTATTTTTTTATTTGAATTAGAATTATAATTTACACTCAATACATTATTATTGCGTACTGTTTTATAATGTATGACAATACTGAGGTGCAGATAATTGCTACTATTTGCAATAAGTATAAATAGCAGAAAATCTTGTTGTTTTAACATAGTATAAATAGAATCTATAGCTGTTTGCACTTAGTGTAAATAGCAAATCGTTAAAAAATACTGCTATTTTCACTTAGTGTAAATAGAATCAATTGCTATTTGCACTTAGTGTAAATAGCATCTATCGCTAAGAAAATATGCTATTTGCACTTTGTGTTTGTTTATATTTGTGCTTATTAGAATATTGTGTTGTTAGCTTAGCAACATATAACATCAAAAACCAATTGCAAGTCTAGTCTCACTTGCAGATCACACCCTTGATGCCTATGTAGAACATTCTAAATCGCTCACTTGTGAGATTCTATAATGGTTTGGATGCTGTCTGTGTAGGCAGCAAGGCAGCTCACTTGGTTTTGGAACAAAGCTATTTACTTCTACTTTCCTAGTCTTTATCTTTTAGTTTGTCTCTATATATCTCTATTCCTGACCTCCTCCTCCCTCTTCAGGTTCAGGATGTTGTGCCAGTCCATTATAGCCCATAAGTTGTTTGACTATGTGGTGCTGGCCTTCATCTTCTCAAACTGCATCACTGTGGCTCTGGAGAGACCCAAGATCCTTCAGGGTAGCCTGGTAAGACTTGAGGCCAATGGATCTTTGATTCAGTTGTTTAATCTGCTGTTATTGATGATTTCCATTTTGTCCACAAGTAGATATTCTGACAGCTTTTTCCTTTCTACTCTTTTCATAATTTTGCTCTCTTTTTCTCTATTTCTCTTTTTCCCTCCTCCTTCTCTTTCTGCAGGAGAGGCTTTTTCTCACCGTGTCCAATTACATTTTCACAGCCATATTTGTGGGGGAGATGACACTCAAGGTAAATATTTACATTCACAGCATGATATTGTGCTGATTTCAGGACTCCCATGTATAGATTTTTTTTTCTTCCTGAATGCGCTGTCATACCTCTGATCTGTGTTGGTGAATCGAGAAAATGATCAATATGGTATTTGTTTTCACAGCAGTTGCAGATACTGTGACTATACCTTTTTTTTTTTTGCATGTTTTAATGGTTTGAGTACAATATAATCCATTTAGTTATGCATATAACATACAGTGGGGTCCAAAAAACCACCAGTGAAAATGTTTATATTTTGCCTCTTTCTATTTTAATGCAATTTTTACATTACAAATAGGGCTGTCCGATATCACGATTTTTGATTGTGGACAATTAAAATGTCTCCACGATCTGCTTTTGAAGAAATATTGTAGTATCGTGCTACAGCACACATTCTATCACTTGCAGCTCTGGTGCCTCCGTCTCAATATAGTGCGCTAATACTGTAAAAAACACACATATAAACACATTTGTTTATGTCTAGATGCGTGCGGGTCTTAATGTGACCGCAGACTAATTGTACTAAACAAAATTTAAATCCTGTCATTATTTACTCACTCGCCTGTTGTCCTAAACCTGTAGTATTTTTTTTTTTTATGTGCTGAACACAAAGGAAGACATTTTGAAGAATGTGGGTAACCAAGCAGTTGCTGGTCCCCATTGACTTTGATAGTAGAAAAAATAATACTATGGAAATCACTGGGAACTAGCAACTATTTGTTTTTATTTTTATAAAATAAAATAAAAAATGTTTATATATATATATATATATATATATATATATTGTTACCTTGTAAGGCTTTATTTTTAAAATAACGAAATTAGTTTGGCTGTACTGCTCAGACAACTTGCAAAATAGTAAAACCAACATGACAAAGAATCGTGATAAAATCGTGAATCATGATTTTCCTGAAAAAATTTTTTTGATATATTTTTGCCATATCACTAATCCCTAATTACAAATTGTATTATCAGCATAAAAAATTTAGTGAAATGTTCAATTAAAAAATGAATATACATTTTATGTCTTTGTATTTGGTTCTTTCCTCTTTTGCTTTAACTATAGCTGCACTTTTTTTTTTAACCTAACGATCATGTTCTCCAGCATAATTTGAGATGTTCCAAAATACTTCTTGTGCTTCAATGGAAACTACAACAACTTACTGTCTGTCAGTCACATGATCATTGTCAAATTTGCTTATTTGATCAGTGACCTAGAAATAGTGCAAAATGTTACAGTTTTTTTAAATCCCAAAACTTTCAATTCTGTGTATGAAAGGATATTACATAATACATCATTATATTATACTTTGATAGATACTGAACAAAATTACACGCACACCAATTTGCTAAAGACATTGTTAAAGGCTCTGGTTGTTTGAATGGGCAATTACCTGAATATTTTCCAATAGATTAAACAGAGTGTGTGTGTGTGTGTGTGTGTGTGTGTGTGTGTGTGTGTGTGTGTCTAATCCATCTTTCTTTCGCTCTTTCTCACTCATTTTCACACACACACATTCTCCTCTGGACCTCTTGAGAGTGGGGTATTACGTTTGCTGGCTCTCTCATGGCAAGCAATTAAGCAATGATATTAATTAGAGCCAGTTTCCCCTTTCAGACGAAGTGAATCTCATAGACTAGCCCATCTATTCAGCTGCAAACGCTTGGCACTTGTAGGTCATCAGTTATGTAACTTAATCAATTATTGGGAAATGGAACAAACAAGAGATACCCTGTCAAAAGCAACAATACATGACATAGCAAGACCATACCAGACCGTTGTAAGCGAATTTGTATGAATATATTGTCTTTTATTTATTTTCTTTTATATTTTATTATTTTCCATCCATCCATCCATTTTCCAAACTGCTTGTCCTATGTAGAGTTGCAAGTATTTTTTATTTATTTTTATTTTTATTTTTCATACACCCATTTTCCAAACTGCTTGTTCTGTGTAGGGTCATGGATATTATAATTTTTTATTATTATTATTTTTAATTTTATAATAATATATATTTTTTAAATTTTGTCTCATAATAATTTTACACAAATATAATTGTATTTAGATGTTTTAGATGGCATTTCATACATTTGTCATCGTTTGAAATGTCATGTCAACCACCAATACACAGTTAATATACGATGATGCAGAGCGTATCTTTTACTGTGGACATTTTTAAAAGCGTTGGTGCAGTGGGAGACACAAGTCAAACAATGATTCCAGCTTTCTCTCGAGGACCAGAAAGTCAACAATTACAGTTCATCCTTGGGGAGGCAGATTCTGCAAGCTACAGAAAAAATATACCTACCGGTATAACATAGCCTGAGGGGCAGCGGCTGATTTTACTGTCCCCAACCCACCTACACTCGACTAATAGGAGTTCTGCAAGGAGATCTGCTCTCACTCAAAAACCACCTCCTTAAATTGCTAGTGTGAGTGTCACATTACTGTACTAGCCTGGTATACATCACTGATTTATTATTGGTTTTCTTTGGCAGTATTGTAAAGAAACTGTCAGACTAATACAGCTCAAATTGATCCCAAGAAAGAGCAGATATGTGTCGCAGTACGGCATCTCATTTCTTAAAAGTGCATAATTCTCTCTGTCTATCTCTGTTTTCTTGCTTTAGACCTTAGCCAATGCTGAAGTCAGACCGTGTGTGTGTGCGTACTGTGTTTCTTTCCTGTCACTCGTCTTGTTAGTGTCACAAGAACCTGCCTGGGAGGCCTAAGGCTCAGGTCACCTTGGCGCTTCAATGAATTTTGTATTTTCGTCACTTTTTCTGCATTTTAGTTTAATATTTTGTTGCTGTTTTTCCAATGTTTTTAAAATCTCCCAAGTCATATCTCACAGCCATCAGCAGCTCCCTTAAGTACATCTGCATCTCACCGCTGATAAAATGGTGGATTTTAGATGTAAATTGTGCAGAGCTCAGTTGAGTTGTAAAATCAGCTCTATAGGAAGCACTATTTTAGGGCTTCAATTAGAACTCTTGGCTTGGCTTGCCTGGAGATCACAAACTCTGACTTTGCTGTCTGTTTCATTTCAGTAAATGTTTCGATCAATTCCAGCAAAGATATGTAAGCAAAATCATACTAGTAGAAATCAGAATGAAATTCAGAATCAGATTAAAGCACCAGAACTCAGTGTTACATAAAACCGAACAAAGTCCATACAGTATACCACCAGAACAACAAAGATCTACATTACACAACTACTTGAACTTTTTATGCTGTCCATTTGAGACATTGTTTCTTTGTTTATTGTAGGTGGTGTCTATGGGTTTGTATATTGGAGAGCAGGCGTACTTGCGCAGCAGTTGGAACGTTTTGGATGGTTTCCTGGTGTTTGTGTCTTTGATTGACATTGTTGTGTCAATGGCGGGCGGGGCTAAGATACTGGGGGTGCTCAGGGTTCTTAGGCTTCTGCGCACACTGCGCCCCCTCAGGTACAGCCAAAAAAATTGCAAGCATTCATGTGGCATTGCCCAACATATGCTTGGTATATAACTTTGTAGATGCTAAATGGTAAATGTTTTTTTCCCCTTCTGACAGGGTTATCAGTCGAGCTCCTGGCCTCAAACTGGTTGTGGAGACTTTGATCACCTCTCTAAAGCCTATAGGAAACATTGTTCTCATCTGCTGTGCCTTTTTCATCATCTTTGGCATCCTGGGAGTCCAGGTAAAACATCTTGTCCATTCAAACTGAGAAGACATGTGCTACCTCTGATGTTTCAGAAGAGGATTTTGAATGCAGCTTTTTAAAAGAAATCTTTGAAAATTGAGTTATTATGATTATTGGCAAAATGTACAAATACTAAAACCATGTGGCACTGAAGACTAAAGGATTAATGGCTGCTCAATATTCAGCTTTGCCATCACGGGAATAAATAACATTTTAAAATATAATAAAATAGAAAACGTTTTTTTTTTTTTATTATTGAAATAATATTTCACATTACTGTTCTGACTGTATTTTTGATTTTTTATCCAATAATTGCATCCTTGGTAATAAAAATTAAAAATATTTGAATGGTAGTGTTTATATCTTAGTGTTTCTATTTTTATTTTTTTTAAAGCAAATTTAATTCAGATAATTTGGGTTTTGAACCGGGGACCCATTGCGTGCTGAACAAAAGCTTTCTTTTGCCTTATACCTTACCTTAGGTGTTTTGAAAGATGTTTTTTTCTGCCACTGGTGCCCCCTCAAAAAAGAAAAACAAAAAAAGAGATCAGTGATGCCCCTGATCCCTGACTTCTCTTTTTTTTTCTCTCCAGATTTTCTGCTTAATCTCACTATCATACCCGTTCTCTCTTTATCACCACTGCTTTCACATTTAGTTTCTTTTCATTTTGTGTTCATTATTAGTTCTTATTCCATTTTAGTGCCACATCTTGTTCTTTTTTTCATAGAGAATGTTTTCTTATTCTGTCCTGATCTTCTTTCATAACACTCTTTTTCTTTCAAATATCCTCTGCTCTGACAGTTTTATTAAAGAGATGCTTGAGTAGTGTGGTGTTGAGTGACATGAAGTGTGTGCTATTTATTTTGCCTCAACAGCTTTTCAAAGGCAAGTTCTACTACTGCTTGGGCCTGGATGTCAAAAACATCACCAACAAGTCTGACTGCCTCTTGGCCAATTATAAGTGGGTCCATAACAAGTACAACTTTGACAACTTGGGGCAGGTTAGTTTGTTCTCTGACTGGGCTTATCAAATTGCATGACAGATTCACACAATTCCTAATATTGAGCAACTCAATTTGTTGCTTTGTTTGATGTATGTATATCTGTGTGCATCTATAACAGAATTACCTCTCATGGTTCTTTACATCACACATGGTTGTCTATCTGTCCTTGCACCTTTTTTGTCTGTACAACCCCCATCTGTCTTTGTTTGTCCCGCTTCTCTTTCCACCCATCTCCATACTTCTGCGTGTTTTTGTATGTGCTCGTATGAATGTGTGTTTATGTTTTACAGGCCCTGATGTCCCTGTTTGTGCTGGCATCGAAGGACGGCTGGGTCAACATCATGTATCATGGTCTGGATGCAGTGGCAGTGGACCAGCAGGTAATGCTCTTCATGTAACATGCTTGCTGCCATAGGCGGATTAACCATATGGGCAATTGGGCAAGTGCCCAGGGGCACCACGTCCAGGGGGGCACCACGCAAATAAATGTTCTGCGGTAAAATAAGCGATGTATTCTCAAACGTCTATCTAGCCGTGGTCTATACATAGGCTACCCTTTCATCAGAACGTACTAAGTTCTCTGAAAGTTTTATAAAAGGTTTTTGTTTTTTTTCTCATGCATGAAACAGAGGATGTGCGATCTATCGCCAGATTCACATATAGGCTATCCTAGTGAGTGAACCCGTGCGCTTTCGTTTCGACAGCCATATATTACTCAAACAGATTCTAGGAGCATGCTGTCGCGCAACTCCCGTCTCTTCAACTGAAATGCCTCGCTCATGGATGTGTGAATCCGCTACGGAGCGTCAGCCTTGCGCTTTCACGTTGTACTTTGCAGCCATTGGCAATCAAGAAAGGGGCAAAGTGTAAACGAGTGAGTTTGTAAGTTTTATTTTCAGTTCAAATCCTCACAAAACTATATGTAGCTATATACAGTGCTTAACAAATTTATTAGACCGCCCGTCAAAAACTTCTTTAAAACTAAAAATTGTGTTATCATTAGGCAAATAACAAACTGAAACAACTAAATACTCTTTATTCACACATAATAACCAAAAACTAATAAACCAAAAAATATAAATAGGCTATTTTGTTTTTATTTTGTATGGCCTCCTTTGGCCTTGATAAAAGCTTGCATTCTTGCTGGCATAATTTTTATGCACTTTTCCACAGTCTCTGTTGTTACTGACTTCCAAATATTTTCTAGTTGTTCCCAAAGACTTGCTTTTAAATTAAACTTTTGTGCAATCTATCTTAGAATCATTCAATCCCAACAATAATTATATTTTAGCATTAGAAACACTACTGTGACTAAAGATCTTACACATACTGGTGGATTAACCATTACA